TAATCGACTTAGCTTCCTTGATGTGTACAGAGGTTACCATCATATCGCTATGTATGAACCAGACCAGGAGGTTACATCCTTTACAACACCTAGAGGATTGTATTGTTACAAGGTCATGCCCTTTGGCCTAAAAAATGTAGGGGCAACATTCCAACGAATGGTCACCAAGCATTGTTAGGTAGAACAATGAAGGCTTACATGGAGGACATGGTGGTCAAAAGTATGGATGAGAAGGACCATCTTAGGGACCTAGACGAGATGTTCCAAATTCTGAAGAAGAATAAGTTGCGCCTAAATGCTTCCAAATGCGCATTCGGCGTAGGATCAGGCAAATTCCTAGGCTTTCTGGTGACCAATCGAGGTATAGAAGCAGACCATTCTCAGATTAAAGCAATCCAGGATCTAGAGAGGTCCAACTTGGTAAAAGAGGTGCAGCATCTCACTGGCCTAGTTGCCGCACTCAATCAGCTGATAAGTCGGTCATCAGACAGATGTCGACTATTCTTCCAAGCTTTGAATGCCAAATTTGAGTGGGATGAAGAATGCGATTGCGCCCTAGAAAGCCTGAAAGAGTACATGTCTTCTCCCCCATTGCTAGTAACCCCAGTACCTGAAGAAAAGCTCTTTTTGTACCTAGCAGTATCACAGCACGCAGTCAGTGCAGTGTTGGTCAGAGCAGAAGGAATCCAACACCTGCCCATTTTTATGTTAGCAAAACCTTGCTAGGCGCAGAAACCAGGTACCTACCATTGGAAAAATTGGCCTTACCCTTGATGATGGCCTCAAGGAAGCTGTCGCATTACTTCCACGCCTACACCATAATCGTCCTAATTGCTTTTCCCTTAAAAGCCTTGTTTGAGAGGGCGAACTTTTCTGGGCGAATCTTGAAATGGGCGATGGAATTGGGACAGTTTGATATGAAGTTTCAACCCAGAACCGCAATAAAAGTCCAAGCTTTGGCAGACTTTATGGCAGAGTTCACACTAGGAAGTCATCACATCTGCCCAGTTGACTTGACTGGTACAATCGAAACGGGGATGGAAAGTGCTGCAGGAAATGCGCAACCCCTACGACAAGATACCCAACCCTATTGCAAACCACACATGCCATTCCTAGTGAGGACTCATCAGCGAGTAAAAGCTTGGGGCAGTCAGATAGTAAAGAGCAAACCCTAACAGCAGGCATGGACTTGGAAGAAAACATAAGCAACACGCATGACCCCAAGACATCATCCGATCCCTCCACTTGCTGGAAGCTATTCGTTAGAGAGATGTGGAAGCTCTTTGTGGATGGAGCATCCAACAGGCACGGTGCAGGACTTGGCATAGTCCTCATCTCACCAGATGGCCTAATAGTAGAACAAACAGTCAACCTTGGCTTCCCAACATCAAACAATGAGACGGAGTATGAAGCACTCTTGGCAGGCCTAAAATTAGGACTCTTTATGTAGGCCACCGAGCTAATGGTTTACAGTGATTCCCAGCTGGTAGTAAACCGGATTTCAAGCGACTATAAAGCAAAAGATGAGAGGATGACGAAGTATTAAGAGTTAGTCAGAAGGGAAATCATGAAATTCAAAGTAGTGCGAATAGAGCAGATCGGCCGAGAAGAAAACAGTAGAGTAGACGAACTAGTAGGCTTTGCTTCGATGGCAGATACATCCATCCCACATCCATTACTGATTGACTTCCTACCAAGACCAAGTATTGAAGAACCCGAAGTAGCTGAGGTATGTTGCGCCGAGCTAGGCCCTTCATGGATGGATCCCATTATACTATTCTTAAAAGACGACGTCTTACGTGAAGAGAAGAAAGAAGCTAACAAGATCAGAGCAAAATCACAGTGATTTTGGCTCTCTCCATCAATGGCCTTGTACAAAAAATCCTTCACAGGATCTTACCTGAAATGTGTTCATCCCAGCAAGGTCGAAGCATTCTTGTTCGAAATACACGAAGGCGTATGAGGAAGCCACCAAGGGGGGAAATCATTGGCATATAGAGCAATTTCACAAGGGTATTGGCGGCCTTACATGCAAGCAGATTCATAGAAGTATGTCAAGAAGTGCGAGAAATGTCAGAAGTTCGCACACCAAATACATCAACCAGCCAGAGCTTCTACCATTAACTAGCCCATGGCCCTTCGCAATGTGGGGCTTGGACATAGTAAGACCGCTTCCAACAGCACCCGACAACAGAAAGTTCTTTCTTGCACTACAAGAAATTGCATTTTTCGCAACGTAACAAAATATGTTGTTAAAAGGGAAAATTCGTTAGCAAAGAGTTTTGCCGACACACAAAGCTACGTTGGCAACCCGTAGGCAAAAGTGAGTTGGCAAAAGTTTTTCCCGACGAAATTATCATTGCGTTGGTAAAAGTAATGCCTTTAGCGATGAACATAGTCGTCGATAAAAGCCTTCATCTATCGTCGGCAATTTACCTTGTGTTGGTAAAAGTCCTTCAAATATGATGATTGTGTGGCACTTTTCGCGACACAAATTTGCATGGGCAAAAAATATGCTTTTAGCAACAACTTATGCGTCGGCAAAAGTAAACTTTTGGCGACACATTTACGTCGGTAAATGTTGCCATTTGTCGACGATTTGTTTGTCGCTAAAGCTTTACTTTTGGCAATGACAAATTGGCATTGGCAAAAAGTACACTTCTACCAACACAATATGAGTGGGCAAAAGTAACTTTTAGCGACACATTTACGTCGGTAAATGTTTCCATTTGCCAACGATTTGGTTGTCGATAAAGCTTTACTTTTGGCAACGACAAATTAGCATTGGCAAAAAATACACTTTTAGCAACACAATATGAGTGGGCAAAAATAAACTTTTGGCTACACATTTACCGACAAGTTGTTCGTCGAGAAAGCTTTACTTTTTGGTAACGACAAATTTGTAGCGGCAAAAAAAATTGAAAATCATTTATATTTTTTTATAAGATTTACATATTTACAAGAGGCATCCCTCAGGCACTATTATTACAAACTAATAACATTGATATTAAATCACCTAAAGTTGATGTGTAAGCAAAAAAACACTGTTGAAAAATATGCTTTTGGAAGCAGTGTATAAAACCTGAAAGGGTAAACTCACTAAAATACTCAAATACATCCAAATTGTGAACCCATAGTAAAAACAGCAGATAACAAGATGAAAACATGAAACTAACAACCCAAATTTATAGTAGACCAGCATCTAGTAGCAGCCTGCTTCATAGCAACATTGCAACAGCAGCAGACCAACAAGCAACAACCATTAGCCACCAGTGCTCTGAAAAATGAGAGAAGAAAAACAATTAATTATTGGGGGGGAATTCGGGGAAATCCTCTCTAATAATAGCGGGGCAGGGTGGGTTTCCATTGGGTTCGGATTTAATTGCCATCCGTAATTCTACCCAAAAGATTCCACCAATGAATCTCCTTCATCAACAGAATCAACAGAAAATAACTATCTACTATCTTGACAATTCAACAACAAAAAAGTAGCATGATTTAAAGACGACTAATTAAGTTGCGATTTCTTTGTAAACATCATGTGCATGACTGGGGATTATTTGATGTCAAACCAATAATCCATCTTGTGCAAGTCACTATCTCGAGTACAAATGCAATGTATGTTTTTGGTAATTTCTCTAAGAACGTAATGAAGATGAACTTTTATGATTAGATGGATTAAAAAAATGGATACATTATTGTTAGAACTTATGTCGTTCCTGCCACACGGGTACTGACATGCTCATGTTGGCTGGGATAAGTTTTGGTAGACCAAAATCTGAAATTTTGGGTGTCAAGTCTTTGTCGAGGAGAATATTGCTAGCTTTGATATCTCGATGAACGATATGTGGTATGTCCACCTGAAAGAATGGCATGTCCCCATGCAATCCCAATGCAAATTCTAGTTCGTGTTCGCCAACTAAATTGGATGCTACTGTAACTTCCACCTAAAAGCCAAGGTCATGATAATGATGATGATGCTTTAAAGCTAAAGTTCATAAATCGAGGTGCCAAATTTGTGTTTTTATGCCAATCCAACAAGTGTAAAGAGTACCAAACTAAGAATATACTGTAACCTTACTTTATTCACTGAACACTGTCTCTTCAAATCCCATGAATATACATCACACATTTGGAAATTAATCTTACTGTATTGTCCTTGTAGATTAACAATCATATAGTACAGTTTTAGACATACTAAATGATATAATCTGCTGTTTCTGCATTACCAGTCACACGGTTGCAGGTATACTGGACATAGTCATTGAAGCAGAGGACAAAAAACATGGAGATTTATTGAGACTGGTAATACTTCCTCTCTTCTAACTCTCTTTTATGTCTACTATTGGCTGTTTTGCTATACACTATGGTCACTTTAAAAATCCTTTTGTTATTTACATTATGTTACTATAATGTGAGCAAGATCATGTTAAGGGCTACCTTGAAATGTAAGCATTTTCACTTCCATCATCTAAACGAACCTACATACAGATACATCTCTAACATAATCAATGTGGTAGATCAAATAGAAAAGAAATGTAGTGAACTTCCTTACTTGACAGCAACAGAAAATTAAGTACGTAAATGTGGAAAATAAAACCAAACCTTGTTCAAGAGGGCACCTAGTTGGATCCCCAAAATACTGAGACAATGAATCTGCACTGCTTTCCTACAAGATAAATGTGTCGGTATACTTAACTAAGCAAGAACTTGCAGATTTTAACAAAAGAAAATCAAACCAAATTTACTGCTGAATTTTCCACTAAGATTAAAATTTCAGTATTGGCAAATCCCCTTTATTTTATATCTCAGCATCACTGCCAACAAACATACACTAGTTTTGTCATGAAACTAGAATTATGTACATCTACGAAGATCCAATAATTCCTTTACAAAAAGAAGAGTCAGCATTTTTCCTTTCAAGCATATTTCTAAATTGTTCTCTTTTACAGAAAACATTGTATGCCTACTCCTGGGCATAAATCAAGCTCTATCTTTGATCTTTGAAAATGGAACACATACAGTAAACATATTTTAACAAAGTCCTCCAGTGAGAACCCATCATAATCATCAACACTTCAAAGATTGCATTATTATTACACATCAACATAGAACTCAAAAATGTTAATATTCATACATATGTGTGTATATAGACACAAAAGAGAGGAACAAATGAGAATTAAGTTACCAACACTAAACAAATAGTCGATTTAATGAAACTTCTATAAAATCTCTAACTTCTATATAAACAAATAAATAATCACCTACAAAATCAAGGAGGTCTCAAATGCATGCTACATGAAAGCAAGTAAAACCAGTTTGGAAACTTGAATAAACAGTGAGCAATGGTGGTACAAGTAATAACCTTGATGTCGAACCCTGTGCTAGGCACAAAAAAGCAATTACTAACAATTAATCATTTAACCACTCTTCTTACCAAAAAAACAAAAAAAAACCCCATCATTCCTTCAAACTCACTCTGAAAATAATGCTTCCAAGCCTACGAGCATGTGACTCCTACAGTACACTCAACTCAATTCAAAAACCTCCATATGAGGACAACCAGATAATAAGATTTTTCATGCATGTTGGGTTCTGATCTTTGAAAAACAACAACCAAATCTAATTCTCTCTCACAAGTTAAAAATCAACAATCGAACTTTTGCATGCCAATCATAATAAATCATAATCAAAAAATAAAATATGCATATTTTTCTTAATGTGTAAAGTAGTCTTTCCTATAAAGCAAAAGGATCTTAACAATTGATCCAACAAAAACTTCTCAGATCAGATTAACAGCTTTTCTGCACAATGTGTCAACCATAAAATTCCCTTAGCTCTTATTCACATTGTTCGAAACAAGTGATCAATCTATTACACCAAATGCAACAATTCAGTCAAGAGTAATTGCAAGATTTCTGCAAAAATAGGTGTATCTTCACAAAATAAGTCAAAAGTTTCAAGTCAAAACACATATTTCATTTAGTTAAAAAAAAAAGGCCAAATGTTTCCTATAGTTGCTCACCCCCAGAAGAATCTATAAACAGTCTGTCAGCAATTTACATACAAAAACCTACAACTTCTCTCAGTTGTGTTAACTCCAGAATTACAGAACAGCAAAATTCAAAAGAACAAGAGCCCGAATGAATACAAATAGTTTCTGATTTTAAAGCACTCACCTGAAAAACTTTTGGATTCTTCAGCATTGCCCTCATAACTGGATCCTTGAAGGGATATTTTATTATGTGACCGCTCTTTTCACCTCTTGTATATGCCAGTTTTGTTAGCTGTTACTTTTGCACCACCCTCTGTCTTTATCTGCTCACCATTGAAAGACAAAAAGAGTAAATAATCCCAAATAACCTTCACACCAAGACAAGTAAGCAAAATTAGTTCTAGCCATGGATAGAACGAAACCACTTTTTCCCCCTATAAAATCAAATCACTTATTAAGGTGCATCCAACATGCTATTCACAACTAAAGCAACATAAAGCAATGTATCACACGTCAAACAAATAAAAGTAATTTCATATACTTGAGAGTCATCTCATAAGACCAGTTTCTTATCATAAAGATATATTAGAAAATGGACAACATATCCTTCAAAAAATATGTGCATGTGTCTGGGGTACAATCCAAAATACTAACTTTATAATAACACAAATAACAATTCTTTCCATTGTTAAGCATGATTCCAATATTTTCAATAGAATTCCAAATTATAAAGAACGAAAAAGAAGATGAAGAGTTATCCACAAGCAATGAAGTAAATACATCAAGACTAATTTTTGAACAGCTACTCTTTCCTAAGGTTCAAATTCAATTTCACAGTCACTAAGGACTCGGTAATGTCTAATAGAACCTGCCCATAATGAACCCCAATAGAAAACTCCACATTATCCCGTCATAGGAAGAAGTTTGAAGCTGCAAACTCCACAAATCTTTAACAATTCAACACTCTTAGCAAAAAATAGAACATCTTTAACACTCAGTAGACTGCAAATAAATATGTTCAACAAGAAAACCACTTTACACCTAATTTCAAGAAGCAAAGCATCTCCCCTACACCTATTTCTTCTATATACAAATTATACCAATAAAAAAGCTTTGTATATTTGTAAAACTGCAAAGATCTTTGATAAAATACCTTTCCACTAGCTATCACACGGTCCCCATTGTTTAACTTGATGTACTTCTTACTCCTCTGCCAGCAAACAGATTCACACAGTTTAAAAGGAGATAGTTTGAAAGAAAAACAAAAAAAATAAACATCCACAAGATATACCTTATCCCAGTGGAATCTAGATTTTTGTTTCTGCATGCCACCACTATCATCTGCAACCAGATCCAGCACGACAGCTTCTAACCTATTCAATTAATTAATCATGACATAAAGATAAGTCAACTATTAAAACGTCAAGAACAAGAAAAAAACACATACTACAGATTAATAAACATTTCTTTTTTTATCATTCAACAACAAAAAGGACATACTAATTACAAAGAAAACAGATAGAATGCCCAAAGCAAAAAAGAAGGATAAGGGAGATTCTCCAAAGACAACAATGGAAAAAAAAAATAAAAACAATGAAGATACATGTGGCACACAGCACTCCAATCACTACTAATAGAAAACAAAGGAACTCCTTTAAATGGTGCTGAAACTAACACACCCAAAAAGAAGCCAAATAACAGATTTTATCACATAAACTACCCAATATCTTTTGATTTGTCTTGAAAAAATCTTGCATTTCTCTCTAACCATAAAACCCACAATAAATAGTAATACAAAGAAGAATAAATTACAAGCTCAATGCCCTTGGTTCCTTTTAACCAAAAGCTGTGACTGTCATAAAATTTCATAACGCAATAATTATTATCATCATCAGTCGAGAAAACAAATGTTTGGGAATCAATAAGCCTTCTAGAACTAATTTTCAAAAAAAATCTATAAAAAAAATAAGCCTTCTAGAACTGCGTCTTGAAAAAGCATCCCACAATAGTCTCTACTATTCTGTCTTGCTTCATGATTACTTATTGCAGTGGAACTATTAGACAAAATGCTAGAAGATATACTCACCACATCAGCTTGAAGTACACTTCCACCCCCTGGCCTCGTTCCCTATCTGAAACAAGAAATCCAAGACCTAGAGATATGGTCTCTTGAAGAGAATCATCTCTTAACAGGTGAGAAGTTATTGGTGAATCTTCACTCACATTATTTCTAAATGAATCTCCAAGCTCTTGGGGAGATGAACTACTTGTATGTAAAACCTCTGCACAAATCTGAGATACGTCCTTGTCCATCCTATTACGAAAGCCATTACTGACATCCATATTGGACCTTACATTTGCAGAAACTGGCCAATACCTCTATTCTTACCATAAATCAAATCCCAATTTGTTGCTTAATGAATAGACTTAGTGAAACAACAAATTAAAGCCACTCCACCATAAAAAATAAAAATAAAAGATAAATCTACCTACACTGGTAATAACTGGTAAAAATAAATCATATCCTCCCAAGTCCCTATATCAAAATTTATCAGTTACCCAGATGAAAACTCAACGAGTATTGCATACTAGGGACCAAGAATCAAAATGGGTATTGTATGTTTCTCACCAGAGGAAGTGCTCTTGACGAGCTTCTCGGAGGAGCTCTTAGAATGCTTATGGTCCTTTGAGTTGTTGAAGCTTCTCGTAGACCCGTCAAAATTCATAGGAACACAAAAAGACTCTAATATTCATTTTTGAAATTTAGTACATCTGAATATTATGATAAAAACACTAATGTTCATTTTTGTGGGATAAATAAGGTCTGAATTCTTTCGACGTGAATAACAGGACACATATTCATAGACAAAATTAAAAAAAACAACACAAAAGCAAACATTCAACAAGAATAATGCAACATAATGAAAACAAGCCTCAAAATAAAAACTAATTTGTTGCTTCCCCTTCCAATTTTTTTTTTTTTAATAGTAAAATCGTTTGTTATTTGTTTGTTTTGATTTATATATATATATATATAGATCCTCTTTGCTAAATCAATATTCTCACATTGTATTAAGCCCTTGGCTTGAATATACATGTTTACAAACTACTAAAAAAAAAAAAATCACACTCGCTATCCTAAAAATCCCAATTTACCTTTCAACTTTTCTCTCACTGATTCAAACAACTCTCACTCAATACACTTCATATTATGCAGAAAAGTACACATACTGATAAATAAATATATATATATATATATATATACACTCAATTTTTGATGAAAAAGAAACTGGATTTCTTGAGGGGTGAAGTGTTGGTTGACTAAAATAGAAACCAAATATACCCTAGAATTTAGAAATTCAAGAAAAGATCGCGAATTACAACATAAAAATGCTCATATAAATTTTCTATGGAAAGAGGCAAAAATGATTCTAATAAATTGAGTATTGTTAGTGATTCAAAAACAATATTAAAAATTTATGTCAATATCGTATAAATGTTTTAGTAATATATATATATATGTATTCAGAATTTCTAATATTTTTGCAGTAAATTAGACAGTAAAAAGTGGTCAATGTGACAAAAGTGGTCATTGTTGATGCTTTCATCTCAGGAACCACAATGTATTGTCACAACAATAGCCATCATTACCACCACCATTTAGGCACTACCCTAACCCAACACCACAAATGAACTTCAGTATTACAATATCACTTCTTCAAAGTAAACCACCTCACCCTACCTTCGGCAACTCATAATCATTTACAAACACTAAGATAACCACAACAGTCAACGAGATATGAAACCTTCAACCCCTCTCACAATTACTGCCACTGCAATTCTACCTGGCATAAAGATACCATTTTGGAACCAAGTTTTATACTTTTACGGGAATTGTAACTACGTTTTATACGATATGATAGGTTCCAATGAAATCCAAAAATTATATGAGATAATGAGCATCAAGAACAAAAAGTTTAACTCCATTTGCATGCTAAAGATAACCAAGAGCAACTACCATTCCCAAAGTACAGATGGCACATTGAATTCCATGACAATAAGAGAGAACACACATAATCAACCAGCATAACTTCAACCTAATGGGAAAGCTCAAAAATCCGCAATCAGAGTGTTGTGTAACATTTTTCAGATATGTTTAATTTTTCTCAATTAACATAGATCACAAAACAGAACAAAATTTAGTGTTGCCATTTAGAATTGAATTCAAATTCATTCAAGTTCGCAGCAACAAGAAAAAAATTAACGACAATACATTTGTAACGAAACGAAAATGTAATACAAGAATATAGCTTTCGCCTTGATTCAACCAAAATAATTGCATTATCATGACAGGATGAAGACTAAAAAAAATTTCAAATTTCAAATTTTGGTTTTTTGTTTCTGTTACTATTTTCATCGAAAACAAACAGCGGCGCAAATGAATTAAATCAATCACGAGTTTTCACAATGAAAATATAGTTCCAAAATAATTTTGTTTAAATTGCTAACAATTTAATGCATTTTTACAAACATCATCAAAATCCAAAGAACATAATTAGATCTATAAATCTAATGCCAAAACAATATGACATTTTTTACACCCTACAAGCAAAAGTATGGCTCCAAAATATTACACTAATCGATGTAAAAAGCCCAATGCCTGAGAATATTCATCGATTATTTCATTACTTGTCAACTGAAATATATGAAAAAACAAAATAAAATAAAATTTTAGCAAGCCTCATTTCAAATGTAAAAATACCAAATCTGTAAGAGCCAATAAAGATTGGAATCAGAATTCTGAGAGAACCCTACACAGAGAAAAGAGGGGGAAATTAGAGAGAAGAGGATTTTACAAGAGGGACGATTTCAGAGAGAGAAAATAGGGTTTCAGGAGAGGGAGGGTTTCAAAAATAATCAATTGAGAGAGGAATACCTCCAGATTTTCTGATTGTTCTTCAAATTCTTTTCTTTTTCTTTGTAGGGTTAGGGTTTTAGGTAGAGTGAAATTACCCACAGCCACTCCAATCACACCGCCAACTACACCGAATGCGAGAGTGAGAGCGAGAGCGAGAGCGAGAGAGAGCCGAAACAAGGGTTTTAGGAACAAGGAAGACAAGAGAGAAGAAAGAAGAGATGAGATGAGTGCCTTACCGTCGAATTAGTCTTGCTGCCGAAAAGATGAGAGTACCATTTGCCTCTCACAGCAAGATCCTCTCTCTGTTTTGTGTAGGTTGACACAGCGTATGGCTTTGAAAAACGTCCAAAGGGCTTCGGGACTACCGTGTTTGCCTCTCAATCTCCACCGATTCAATTGATAGTAGAGCTTTGAAGAACAAGGGTTTGAAGAACCCTTTCCCCTTCCAACCAATTCACTTTCTTTCTTCTCCCTTTGTTTCTTCTATGTTACTTATGATGAGAACCCCTGTCTTGTAGGTCGTCCATGTGTTTTGGTAAAAAATCAATTTTATTGTTGTGTATGAGCTAAAAAATAAAATTATATAAAAATGATAAGGATATTTTTTATTTTTTCACCCAAATTTTTTTTTATAGTTTTTTAGGAAAAAAAAATTAAACTAATTTATGAAAATAAAACCAAACATAAAACCACAATGAAAAGAATCTGAAAGTAAAACCAAATATATTGAAATTGATAATCTAACCACATTCTTTAGAAAAGTTTAAATTAAGTCAAATTAGTCATCTCAACTTAAGAGTATGTTTGGCCTTGATAGGTTTATTTTGTAATCTAATTTAATGATCACTTTGATTTTACAATTCAATAACTAGAATATTTAAAACTCTTTCAAAAGTTATAATAAAAACACAAATCAATGAATCACCTGTTTCACTAGTAAAACTTTTATCGACGAATAGTATTATCGTCGCTAAATGTTTAACTCTTTGCCCACGCCAACTTGTCGTCACCAAAAGTAAGCACACTAATAGCAACACTCATTGCGTTGGTAAAAAATAAGCCTCGTAGCTAAAACTTTTGAAATTTTGGCGCCAACAAATAATTTTGGTGCTTAAAGGTGTTATACTTTTTTAGCGACGATAGTAAATTGCGTTGGTAAAAGTCTACTTTTACCAACGAAATTCATCATTGTGTCGCCAAAAATATACTTTTGGCTATGAAAAATTGACGTCGTCGCCAAAAGTAGTTGCCAAAAGTGCAATTTCTTGTAGTGTTGCAGCAACAGACTACTTCACAAAGTGGGTGGAAGCAGAAGCTCTCGCATCAATAAAGGAGAAAGATGTGAAAAAGTTCGTCTGGCAGAATATCATCACTCGGTTCGGCATACACAAGGCTCTAATATCCGACAACGACACTCAGTTCGATGGCAAAATTTTTAGACGCTT